CAGCCAAATTCTACCAGATCTATAAAGTAGAGTCAGTACCCATACTACAGAAATTATTCCATAATATTGAGAAGGAGGCAATTTTCCCCAACTGTTTCTAGGAAGGCAGTATCACCTTGATACCAAAGTCAGGGGAGGACACAACACACACAGAAAACTATAGACCAATATCTTTTATAAATATAGATGCGAAAATCCTCAACAAGTTACTAGCAAATCAAATTCAACAACACATCAAAAAAAAATAATCCATCAGAACCAAGTGAGCTCCATCCTAGGGATGCAAGAATGGTTCAACATATGCAAATCAATAAATTTGATTAACCATATAAAAAGAAGCAAAAACAAAGACCATACGGTCATCTCTATAGATACAGAAAAAGCATTTGACACAGTTCAGCACCCTTTCATGATAAAAACTCCCAGCAAACTAGGTATGGAAAGAACATATCTCAAAATTATAAAAGCCATATATGCCAAACCCACAGCCAGCACTATACTGAATGAGGAAAAGTTAAAAACATTTCTCCTAAGAACTGGAACAAGACAAGGGTAGCCACTGTCACCACCACTATTCAACATGGTGCTGGAAGTCCTAGCCAGAGAAATCAGGCAAGAGAAAGAAATAAAGGGTATGCAAATTGGGAAAGAGTAGGTAAAAGTATCGCTCTTTGCTGGGAACATTATCTTGTACCTAGAAAATCCCAAAGACTCCACCAAGAGACTCCTGAAATTGATAAATAAATTCAGCAAAGTCTCATGATACAAAATCCGGGTACATAAATTAGTAGCATTTCTATATACCAATAACAGTCAGGCTGAGGGTCAAATCAAAGACTCAATATCATTCACAATAGCTACAAAGAAAATAAAATACCTAGGAACATACTTAACCAAGGAAGTGAAAGATCTCTACAAGGAGAATCATGAAAACACTGAAGGAAGAAATCCTAGCCGATACAAACAAATGGAAAAACCTATCATTGATTGGAAGAATCAACATTGTTAAAATGTCCATACTACCCCAAGTGACTTACAAATTCAATGTAATCCCCCTCAAAATACCAACATCATACTTCACAGATCAGAAAATTCTATTCTTTGTTTGGAACCAGAAAAGAGCCCACATAGCCAAGCAGTCTTAAGCAAAAACAATGGATCTGAAGGTACCACATTACCAGACTTCAAACTATATGAGGCTGTAGTAACCAAAACAGCATGATATTGGTACAAAAATAGAGACATCGACCAATGGAACAAAAAATAGAAGACCCAGATATAAAAACACCCACCTAAGGCTAACTGATCTCTGACAAAGTAGAAAACAACATACACTGGGGAAAAGAAGCCTTATTCAATAAATGGTGCTGGGAAAATTGGATAGCCATATGCAGAACAATGAAACAGGACCCCTATCTCTCACCACTTGCAAAAATTAATTCAAGATGGATAAATGTCTTAAATGTAAGGCATGAAATCATAAGAATTCTAGAGGATAAAGTAGGAAAAACTCTTCTAGATATTGGCCTAAGTGAAGAATTTATGAATAAGACCCCAATGGCAATCACAGCAACTACAAAAATAAACAAATGGAATTTGATTAAACTAAAAAGCTTCTGCACAACTAAGGAAACAGTCAACAGAGCAAATAGGCAACCTACAGAATGGGAGAAAATATTCGAAGATATACATCCGATAAAGGGCTAACAACCAGAATCTACAAAAAAGCAAATCAGCAAGAAAAAAAAACCTTCAAAAACCCCATTAAAAAGTGGGCAAAAGACATGAATAGAAGCTTTTCAAAAGAAGATAGACAAATAGCCAATAAACACATGAAACAATGTTCAACATCACTAATCATCAGGGAAATGCAAATTAAAACCACAATGAGGTATCACGCCACCCCTGCTAGAATGGCTTTTATTAAAAAGTCCAAAAACAATAGATGCTGGCATGGATGCGGAAAGAAAAGGAATGCCTATACACTGTTGGTGGGACTGGGGAAAAAAAAAAAGGAAAAGAAGTCTTTCTATCAAAAAGATACCTGCACTCAAATGTTTATTGTAGCACAATACACAATTGCAAAAATGTGGAATCAACTCAAGTACCCATCAAATGTGGTATATGTATACCATGGAGTACTACTCAGCCATAGAAAAGGATGAATTAATGCGTTTTGCAACAATTTGGATGGAACTGGAGACCATTCTCCTAAGTGAAGTATCTCAAGAATGGAGAAAAGACACAACATGTCCTCATTATTAAACTGGAACTAACCAACAAGCACACATATGCACAGAAGGAAGTAAAACTCAGTGAAAATCAAGCAGGGGGAAGGAAGGAGGAGGTGAGGGGCAAAAACCTACCTAATGGGTACAATGAACATTATTTGGGTGATAGGCACACCTATAGCCATGACTCAAGCATTCCAAATGTGAGCCATGTAACCAAAAACATTTGTGCCACCTTAATATTTTGAAATCAACCCTCCCAAACAATGTATCACTAAAAGCTTATTTTAATCAGTTTTTACTAGAGTATTTTTCTTCTATCATAATAACATGATTTGATTTTGCCTAGTTTATATGCTACTAAATACATCTAATTTCCCTTTTAAAAATACCCAATGATCTAAGATCAAATAAAGTCTTTTCATTACAAGTTATAGACTTTAAGCATAATAAGTAATATAATTACTCATTTATCCACCTTTATTTACAACATGACATTATGTTTTCCTTAAATATAGTTACATAATGACATGGAAATAATATTCTAAAATAATGCAACTATTAAGGATGCCACAATTAACTAAATAGAGCTTTCTTCAAAGACTACATGTAAGTAAACATTATAAATGTGTAATCCAATTTCCCATTGATTTGTACAATTGATAAACTGGAGAAGTTATCCTACAGAAAAAGAAATCACCAAAAAATAAAAAGAGAAGAAGAATAAAACAAATTTGGCAAAGAAGAGATCATTATAAATTCTAAAACTTGTTTCAGTATAATAGCATTTTTGTTGGTCCTATTTTTGTATCTTAGTTTATATCTTGTTAGTCTCTCTAACAGCAAACACCAAAGCGTGATAACATGGAGAGGCTTCTATCCCTCTCTCTGGCTGCCACTCTTGGTGGGCTCTGAGTAACGGTGGGCCAGGGCAGGTGTCGGCAATGAGATGGTGCCATCATAGACTATAGCCATGTGCTACTTGTAATCCTGATGTCAACGGCACAGGAATGACCAGACGGCTGTGTCGGTGAAAGCTTGGGTAATGCGTGATAAATTTGTTTTTAATTTTATGTGGTTGGTACTAAATACGTGTCTGCATAATAAATGTTGAAAGATGTCAGAAGCAGAGTAACTACAGTAAAAGATCCCAAATGAATATATTCAGAGCTGGTATTCTTCATTTCCCCATAAAGCTCTATTGCGTCTTCTCAAGGCTTATCCTCCCTTAATGGAAGAGGTAAGTTCCTTATGTGGTGTTATTTAAAGGGCAGTTCCCCAAAATACTTCCTTCGTAGTTTTCCAGAGAACTACCAATTCCCACCTGCCACGAAGTTTCCGCGAGTAGAGTAATTCTTTTGAGTTAGGTAAGAAAGAGGGTGCTGTGGGCACGGAAAAGGAATGAGCTATCCCATTAATACAATGATATAAATTAATTGATCAGATTAGCCAATTTATAGCATGGAAGAATTAACAGCTGGGATGGGGACATTATCAGGTGCTGAACACAAATGTCCATTTTAACAGTTTTTGTAGCTTATGTTGTTAAGGGTCAAAAGGACTAATGTGTCCAACAGTAACATTTAAAACGCTGGCATCAAATGTACTACTATTCATAAAGAAGGGAGTTTGCAGTATATATATATATATGTATATATATATTTATTTATTTATTATGCTTCATATGACTACTTGTTTCATTAAACTCAGAAACAAAGTTATCGTGAAAAAAGGATCCTCCACGCACCTTGCTGAAGAAGCTCGTTCAAAGTTGCAAAAAGCCTACACAATCCCACTATATCCTCAACTGGCCCCACAGGTTGACGCTATGGGCTTTTTCTACATCCCACTGTCCAAAGGAGGATTCTTAATCAGTTATTATTATTGTGCAAAGTTTTGTAGGCACAGATAAAAATAGTTTTTCATTTCTTTAAGTTCTATGCAGAAATGATTTGTATATATTTTTACTAACCCTCAACTTGACAGTATTCTGCTTTTAAAATAATTATTACCAGAAAATATGAAGGGCTACCATTAAAGAATAAAGTCAAAGAAATTTCACACATGAATTTATGTCATATGGGGGAAAAGTTATAATAAATTAAGTATTAAACAAATATTTCCAAACTATATTCAGCTCAATTTTTAATAAGTTTTTTAAAAACTTTTTATGAATTTACTAATTTATAAGACATATTTGTATTCTAAGTAATTCCAAACAGAAAACCTCCTGTAAGCCAAGTCCCAGCACTAATTCATGATTCATTATCTAAACTTTAATTGGCACAACTCTTGAAATTCTGGGACCATATGGAAAATAATGAGTCCTAATAGGTCTAAGGTGAAAAGATGGCATGGGAGTAAGGAAGCCAGAAAACCATTAATTCAGAATGCTTAGCAACTGCAACACCATCTCCCCAGAGATCTAGAACAATGCATTCTCAATGTTTACTGGTCTTGCTATCATATATAATAACTAAACTGTATATTATTTCTCATTCTGTGAGGTAAAGATTAAAATGGAAAAATAAAAACAACCCCAAAATTGGTTTCCATAATTAAAAATGAAATTGGCTGTTAACTAAAAAAAAAGCAGCAGTTTAGAGTTACCATAACAACCTGATGCGACTGTTGACTGACATGGAAATCTGTTGCATTTTTATAAATAGCAGCTGACCTCCACTCTTCCATCTCAACTAGCTTTAGTGCTTACTGGAGCCAATGGAACAACTGTGCTTTAAAGACTACTTCACTCATCAAGCAGTGTACCTCTTCGATGCTGTCACCACCATAAAAATCATCCTCTGATTGGGTGTCACTCCTTGTCACGCTGTTATTTTCTTTTATATCCAAAATAAATGGGAGCTCCTCTGGGGACATATTCTGAGTCTTTCCATGAGGTGCTGATCGTGGTCTTGATGAAAACGTGAAAATGTCCTTTGGAATGATCTGGGTTTCCTCTGCCTGTTGATCCTGTTCACTTTCCTTGCTGGCTTCTAGCCACAGGTGTGAAGTGTTGCAGAAGTCATCATCCAGAAGTAAAGACTGCCTTCTAGACACCAGATGGGGAACGTGATCATCATTTTCAGGAAATATCCACTCATCTGACATTTAGAAAAGATGACAAAAATTAGAGTAGTGCTCCATAAAAATTTTATTTTAGGCAGATAGTTAGGTTAAAATTTCTTGATGTTGAAACATTTATCAATAATGCAAAAAGCCAAGGAAGGAAATTTATCCACCATCCTGTAACCTGCTAAATATTTGATCCAAAGATTAGCGCCTATAGCTATAGGCAACTCGTGCACTTCCTCTCCATCTGAGTTGAAGCACTGGCCAGAAAATGTGTAAGTCTGAAATAATTACCACCTGTCTTGCAGCAAGTTCTTTATAGCACAACTTCATTAATTTGAGATTACCGAGGGGGAAAATCTTCCAAGTTTAAAAGGGTTTGAGTTACTAGTATCTCTTTTTAACTGTAGTACTTAACCAGCTTCTTGAAACAAAATATCTGGTCATTGTTTGGATTATAAATCATGGAGAAGAGGAAACCATGGAAAGGCTGACAGTCTTTTTCTCTCCATTCTGCTGATTGCAACAGGACAATTCATGAACTAAACTGAGCAGACTTTTCAAATCATAGTAAATCCATAGAAAAGTTTGTTAATTGGAGTAATAGATTCTGCTGAGTGAAAAAGACCTTTAAGTTTAGAGAGAATGTTTTGACCCTAAAATCTTTTTGTACATGGTATTTGTCTTCTTTAAAAATACTGTATATTATCACTTAGATATGTTTTATCAAAGCTTCTTTAAGACATCAATCTTTTATACCACAATGATCCAGGCAAACTAGAAAGGATAGATCTTTATAATGATATCATTAAAAGCATGCTAACTTTCTTCTTTAGAATGACAGTAGGAAAGAGTGGAGCACTTTCTCAATTTACTCTATTTTTCTTGAAATTTACTTTTTTGCGGCATTAATGGTAAAATCTAATAAGAACTGTTCTGCAGAACTACAATGTGGACATGGTAATTTTATACCTTATTGTTGAATCCTATTATATTTATGAACACAATAAAAGTAACCAAGAGAGATCTAAGATTTGCAAACTTCAAAGCCTATATACTATAAAATCAAAACAAAAACAGCAAAAAAGACCTTTAATAAATGTAACATTGATGGCACAAATAAAATGTTTTACAATTGAATTCAACTGTTTCTTAACCTAAGATTACCATAACATAACATAACTTGCTTGCAAAAAGGATGACAGATGTCCACTACTTAGAGAAAATCTATTAGGACCAAGGCTTTCATTATTCAGAGTCTGAAATAATGAACAGAGGGGCAGAGCCTGTAGGTATATGGCCAATGGCAGGACAAAGCTACTTCTGACCACCTTCACAGGGGATGTAGATGGGCCTGAATCACTGTAGCTGTGGGGCAGTGAACTAATAAACAGATTCACTGGGCTCACCTATTTGGGACTGCAAATCCCTCTGCATGGTGCTCAGCACATAGCAGGTGCTTTGGAAACACAGTACGTACTCTAAAAATGCTGTAAAAGGTTACAAAGGCCAACGCGTTGCATTGGGTACATGGATATCTGAAGAAATTTGGAGGAAAAGGTACTAGGAATCTTCAATACAAACTTTAACAATTAGTGTGACCTATTGCCAGAAATATTGTTAACTGTCAGAAAGTCAAAGTAAAAGGAGTGTTGCATACCAAACTAACTCTAATTATCTCACTACCACATGCTTTTTTGGAATTTGTAGTTTTACCTCAAGTATTTCCATATCAATTGTAATGAATAATTTGGTGTGTTTTCTTAGGAAAATATGTAAATTACTATGTAATCACAATATTGCAGCAAACAAGATAAATGCAAGAATGATCACCTAAACATCTAATTAGTTTCTCCACACAGTCAGATTTATGCTAGAGACACTAATTGCGCCTAACATTTTAATGAAGGTTTCAACATTGCATAAATAAGACTGACAAACTACAAACAATTTTCATTTATTTTCCTTTTTCCCTCGCTCAAAAACAATTTGCCTTTGTAAAAGTAGCACACACCTGGTAGGCAAGATATGCTGATGGGCTCAATGCTCCCAGCTCCAGCCATCTCCATTATAAAGAGGACTGAAGAAACGCAACAATAGATCATCTTTGGGGAGTGTGACAGTGTCACGGGAAAACGTCAAGTTTTAAACTTTCACTCTGAACAGGACAACCAGTGCATTAAAATTTTAAAATAAAAATACTCTTTCATCCATTAAAGTTTGACATAAAATTAAGGTTAAATAAGGAGATTTACAAAAATTTATAAGTTTTAGCAAATGATTGCAGCTTTTCAAAATAACTAGACTTGAAATATTCAGCATATTTATATTTTATTAATTATGAACAAATATGGCGTTATAAAGATGCCAACCTGCTTGATCAGGAGACTGGGGTCCTAGGGTGCTGGGGTAGAACATCTCTGTTCCTTGTCGGGACACAGGAGTGAGGACAGTTGTGGCTTTATCTTCACTGCTATTATTTCTTGAAGAACTCCCTTTATTAAAATAAATATTTTCCACTGTTACTTCTTTTGAACTTTATAAAAAATAATTTTTAAAGAATGGTTTAATTTGCTATACTTTTTAATTTGATTATTTAAAAGCAAATTAAAATTAACAATATGAATTGTATGCATTTTTTTTCAGTAGAATGTTTTAAGAAGAACTCAGCTGCATTTTTGCAGAGGCTCACCTTAAAATTCTTTGATATCTGCACAAGGACATTTCAGATTTAAGTTTTACAATATGTGATAAAAAGAATTCCAAAACCCATATAATTTTTAAAGGGTCTTATATTTTTGCCCTTGGGTTTTGCATAAAATGAAGTGTGTTTTCTTTAAATTATAATTCATCTTAAACATGACTCTTTTAGATCAACCTCTTTACTTCAGTATCTTAACAAAATGGATGCAGGTGTTATTGAAGAATTAATTTTTCTATTTACTCTTTTATAAACACAACATGAAACCTAGTAGACTAGGTTTCAGAAGGGCTGAACCCCAGAAGGGTTGGCTGAAATTACAACAGTTGTATATATGAAACACTTTGCGCTGGATTCAGGATAGATTAATATATGTGTACATAAATCTATACATACATGCTTCAAATCCAGTTTTTATAGGAATAACTATAATAGCTACCTACATTTGTCTAATGTTTTACTGGTTGCAAAGAGCTTAAATTTTAACCTACATTATATCATATGGCAAAGAATCCGAAGGAAGAGATAGCAAATGTAAACAACAATCTGAAAAGAGCCCAATTTAAAAAGGAAAAACATAAATGAAACATGAAAAATTATAATAAAGTTCAATTTTAGTGAAGCCTGCAGGCAGGAACTTCCTCTAGTACATTTGGGCCATTTTTAAAAACAATAATGTAAGTTTATGCAGCCTTTGAGAGTAAAAGTAGGAAGTCCTTTATTTCTGTGGTACTGTCTATTTAGTCCAGCAAATCTGTTAGGGCTCTAGAGCAATTCTTTTGCAGAAAATTTGATTTCCATAATCCCTGTGGAACAGACATTTATATTTTAAATGAATTGGTTCATAATCCTTTGAAATTTACAACCTGCAGAGAAAGATTCCATTGCCCTGTATAATAGACAGATATAAGATAGTATTGAAATAATGCCATACCGCTAGGTGTCTCTCTCCTTTCTCTGCTGGTGCTTTTTAGCCGTAATCTTCTTCTGTTATTATTCTTATCTGTTGATGGTTCGTCAGGAGGATGTGGACACATAATATGTAGATTGGCTGGTACATTTTCATATCAAAGAACAAAAGCCAGAACAGAAAGTACTATATGGATTGAAGTAATTCAGTAAATATAATTATTGTTATAATGAGAATATTCATGTATCGTTTTGACATAATGTGAAGTTGTATCAAAAACATAACTTATTCCTTCATAGAATACAGGCATTTATTCCTATTCTAATATTAGGATCCTATTAGGCTTTCAAAATTGCTGATACATTTTATTCATGTAATATAACCTTATAGAGAACTACAAGTAATTTGATTTATATTAATCATGTAATAAGCTATATTAAAAAATATAAAAAATAAAATTGACAGCCAATATAGAAAAATTATTTCTTTTTTTAAAAGAGGAAATGCAGCTAACTATACTTTCCATAAGAGCTTAGACTCTTTAGAGCAGTTTCCAAAAGAGCCTAGGAGAACTGAGGTCAAACTTGGAGAATTTTTAAGTATAATTATTTCTGTAATAACAATAGTCATAGTAGCATTTAGTATTTACTGAATGCTAATTTCTTGGTGTAATTTGATACACTTAACTGTTTTTTTCTCACCGACTTCTCACCATGACCATTAGAGGCAGTTTTTATTTATTAATATTATTAGTACTAGTGTCAATAGTAATGGTATTCTTCCCATTTTACAGAGGAGGAAACTGAGGCTCACAGGGTTTAAGAAACTTGATGAAGACTTCACAGATTGTCAGTAGTAGAGGTGGGACTTATAGCTATGTTATTCATTTCCTTATCTCAGTTTTATACTACATCAGGGGATATTGTCTGTAATAGTGATTATCAATTTCTAAATTGAATAAAATGAACTCAAATGCCTCCCTTTTCAACTCTCACCAAAGTCAGACCAGTACAGGTGAAAAAGTGACAGGAGTTGTAAATTCTGGGTTCTGGTCTCAATTCTTTCTAATGATTACAAACTGCAAATCACTTTACCTCTTTGTGAACTTTCAAATCTCTATCTGTAAAATGGGACAAACATCATTTCTTTGTTCACAGAGTTGTTTTTTATTGATAAAATATTTTACAAATGGAACAGATTAATTAAAAGACAAAAATTAAGCTAAGAAAACTTAAAATGTATATGGAGTTTCCAAAATAGAGTGATAATGGGATGCTATTTTATTTCCACATAGGTTACCATAAAGTAAAACATGGGGTACTATAGCAATTTGAAATAATGGAATAAACAGAATAATAGGTTTCAGAAGATAATGTATGCATAAGAATTCTAAATATATTTCAAAATCTACCACTCTTTTTATTACTGAATGATAATTCTCTGGCCTTAAGGTCGAGGCATGAATATATCTGTTGATTTGTCTTAACAAGAACATTTCTCACTATTTTCACTAGCTATCAATCTTAATGCATGATTCTTTCTTACCATGAATAGGTACTGTCTGCTTTACTTGGTGACGATTTTCTTTATTTCCTTGCTTCTCAAAGTCAGACATCAGCAAGGCTGACATTCCTGCACTGTTAACACACTTCTGTACTGTGGACTGCTGGAACGACCGGTTGTTTCTGGACCCAATGGGTCTAACTGTCTGTAAAGAAAAGGAATTAATTTGTACATTTAAATACACAGGGACGGCATCTATTTCCTGTAAAAATTACAAACTACATAGGAAAAGTAATATTTGGACATATAAAGGGTGAGGAAAAAAAAACTACAGGAAACACGGTTAAGAAGTGATGGAACAGGAAATTATTGTGGGAAATTAGAAATGGAAGGAGAAAAATAATGAGATAAAATAGAAGACAAACAAGTCTCCTAGACACATAAATGAATATGTGTTTATTTGCTACACTCCATTTTTAGAGGTAGAAGCTGAGTGAAAAATCACTGTGTATGTCAGAAATTCAGAGAAAATTAAAAATAAGAAACATAAAATTTGAGAATCTGTTCATTGTAAGGTATCTAGTCATGATTCAACTCCTTTTTTGAAGAAAATGGCACAATGTGCTCATATATATTTGCCTATAAATTCTGTTAACATATTTATGAACATAATTAACAATTACATTAATTATGCAAATGTTAATTACATTGACACAACAAAAAGAAAACAGTTTTGATGTCTTTTAAAAATCCAGAATTTCTGATCCAAATTTATTCAAGCCTTCTGCTTTCGGCATGCAGTGTCTGTCTGTCTCTCTCCCTTCCTCCACCCACAGGGGGAAGAAACCCTTCCCTTACCACGACACTGATTCTCAGGTAAGCTCATCCAACCTTGCGCCTACCTCACTGGATATCCTCATGTTATTTCTTCTGCCAGAGAGTGGAGGTGGTCCAAGAACTTTGGATCCAAAGGCAATATGACAAACATCTTGATTTTTACTGTTCCGCACACTACCCGTTCCTCTGTTAATGAACTGATCTGTTTTGTTAAACGAAGGCAATAACAGTCCATTAATGGGCGTAATGACAAACACCATGTTGTAATATTTCTGCAAGTGCAGTCCAGGTGCTATATGATCCAAATCACACCTCCCAACTTATTAAAAAGTGCAGATACTGGAATTTAGCATCAGAGCTATCAGAGCTATAGAATTAGAATCTTGAAGGCGGGTTCAGAATACTTTTAACAAGTTCCCCCAAGTAATTTTTATATTTACCATCATTTGAAAATCACTACCACAAATATTTTTCTTTAAAAAAAAAAAGAAAAGAAAAAGCTACCCAAACCCACATTTTCTCTTCATGTAAATAATTTAAATAAAATTATTCAACTCAACTGAACAAATATTTAACTGAGTACTCTTGCAGGCATTCCTAGAGGTTTTCAGTAACACAAAATGGATAAGACATATTGCTTGCCTCCAGGCAGTCAGAAGGGGGGGTGATAAGGTAAGTAAACAGGACAGTAACATAAGGCAGACCCGTAGGAATGAATAAGTGATCTCTTAACAGACCTTAAATGACTTATAGGATTTTAAGAATAAGAAATGTAGGGTGAAGGCAGAAGAAAGAACCGGAATAAAAGCATGGAAGAGGAAAAGTGAAAGGTATGCTTGGGGGTTGGGGGGCGGAGGAAGTGACTGGTTTAGCTGGAGAGGCTAGAGTGACACTGAAAAGAGCTTTAAAATGTCAAGAGCCTATGCTAAATTTGGTAGGCAATAGGGAATCTCTTTCTGGGGAGAAAAAGACCAAACTGGTGTTACCTTCAGAACAGGGCAGGTGTGGCCACCAAATCATGCTGCCTTTCCTTCTGCACACACAGCTAAATTACATTTCTGAACACTTCCTGCAGTGATACGAGTCATGTGACTGGGTTCTTGCTAATGCTAACGGAATATGAGAAGTGTAAGCCACTTCCTGGCCCCTAAAGCCACCTGAAGAATCAATCCCCCATGCTCTCTATTTTCTCCCTTAATGACAAGATGCAGAAGATCTTGCAGAGCACTTTAAGTGACCATCTTCCCTTCTCCTGGATGATCACAAAACCACTCAAGTGATTGATTATGTCTACTCTAGTGCCCTGTTCCATCCATTCTCCAAAATGCAGTCAGAGAGATCTCATACAAACGTAAATCTAATCGAGTCATTTCCTTTCCTTCACTTAAAGTTCTTCAATGGCTTCCCTGCTGTCCTTGGAATTAAGAAGCAAGCCATTAACATCATCTGCAAAAACCTGCATGTTCTGACATAACATAGTATCTTACACCTCATTTTCTGCTCTCTCAACAGACGGGCCTTCTCAGTTCTTCCTGCCTACCAGAGTGTCTGTACATGTTGTTCCCCAGGGTTAGAAGGCTTTTCCTTTCCCTCTTGGTCCTTCTGTCTCAGCTTATGCTATCACTTCCTCAGAAAAGACTTTGTGGGCCTTCCTGATTATGGTAAGTTCTCCCAATATTGGCACTTCCATAAACTGTCCTTTGCAGAACTTGTCAGAATTACACTTTTACATGTGTCTATGGGATTCTCTAATTAATGTGTGCTTCAATAGACATAAACACTCGACAATTGCTTCTGCCACCCTGAATTGCCAGCACCTAGTGCAGTGCTTGACACAGAGTAGGCACGTGATAGATCCTTGCTGAACAAAATGAATGAATTATTAAGTGACATGAGTCAGAGAGAAAGTTGGGTTAAATGACTCAAATATTTCTATGGTGGGAATTTCATTTTAAGGAAACTCCACCTGAAAGTTTCATGTGTGAATCCAGGAGGAAGACTGGACACCGCTGGCCAACTCCAAGGTTGGGGATGAAAGAGAAGGGTCAAGAATGAATAAGACATCGATGTTCATATAAATGGTGAGGCTCTCAAACACAGAGGCGCCACAGCACCACAATCAGTTGCTATTCAAGTTACGTTTGAAATTCCCTAGTGTTACAAAATAGACTTGGTAATGTGCGCATCTGTATTTTTTTCCCAGCCATTTATAAATATCCATCTGGGGTCAACAAAACATTGGTAGTCTCTCAGCACTGATAAATAGGAAGAAATGACACTCAAAGTCCAGGCCAAATGGAAAATCTATTGTAGACATCATTTGTACTTTTTATGACTAAGTAGGACAAATTCTAGACTATTTATTTTGTTCTCAAACATTGATTTTCTTAGAGAAAAACGGCCATTGGGGGATATGGCATGGGACTAGATGGGAATTCCTTTTTTTCCCCTTCCAATCTTGGGAACTATTCAGCTATGGGCCTCTTTTTCTATTCAAATATCTTATAAGGACAATTTTCTTGATTTTTTTTTCATATTCTTTATATGCAGGTTCTCTTCAATCAATTTGAGTTCTTTTGAGTAGAAAGATCATTTATTTGTTACCATATGAACCCTCATCTGCTGGAACCCAGCTTAGCACATGGCAGACAATGGATAAATCTCATCAATATTATGGTTAATATGCAAGATTAGAAAGAGAATGTTTTGGAGGGAGGGAGTATTTTAGAAATCATATGGATATAGTTCCAGCTATAATTTTGACAAAGTGAATATAACTACTTCATAATTATGAATAAAATTATAAATCCTAAATACCTTGAATTTCTTAGAGGAATCTCTTGCTTAGCAGTGGATACCGAGTAACTACTAAAGATACACATAAAAACTTGACATACTATAATTCCCTAAATAACATAAAATATATATTCTGTATTTTATAAGAAGATCTATTATGAGATTTCTTTAAAGAGTAAAACACTACAGTGTATTTAAATTTAAGTCTATTTTTAAAAAATTTATGCATTTTGGTACTCCCCCACAAGTATATCAATATTCCACTATTTGGTATATCTTTAGTTAACAGACCTCTTTAAGCTTGTTATTCCAATGAACACACCAATTCTTATATCCTGTTTCACTTTAATAATTCTGTTTATATACATATTAACTGTCATAATTATCTCTATAAACATATATTATGCTATGCATCTACTATAATAAGGTCCTAATTAAAATCTACTAAGAAAAGTAATTTAGAACTTTAGTTTCTAAAATAAAAAGAAGGGAAAAAGTTTCTATAATGAGAAAAATCTTAATGAAAGAAAATTACAAGCAGAAACGCATGCTTTTGAATTCTAAAAGGAGCTCTTTTAAGAACTGGTATCAATATGCGTAATATAAGGTTAAAAATCAAGATTAGATTAAAGTCACGCTCTAGGCATTTCATTTTCTTGAGTTTGCAGAAAATGAACTTGTGTAGGTCAGAGATGTTACCATTAATTATTTTGCTATTTTACTGAGGGGTACATGCCTTTGTAGTTAGATTGTAAAACCCGAGGGTCTACTCTCTAATTGTCTTTTAGAAAAATAAACATTCATTTTTGTCTCAAGATACAATGTTCTAATTATTATAGTCATTTAAGTTTGCAGGGTTTTCAAAGCTTAACCAGAAAAACCTGCTGAATTTTCAACTCTAATCATGGAAGGGTCCTGCTTAAGACTTACATCTATTATCTAAAAATCAAATCAGAATTAAAGCTGGTACCAAAATCCAGACTTTGAATTGGATTACTTTTTATTATAGTATATGTGTGTTGCTATAAAGAATGTAAAAAAATACAAAAAAGGCAAACTAGGATAGCAATATTATTTTAGACAAGGTTTTTAGCCTTTTAAGTCTCATCTTCTTCATCTGTAGGATCAGGATAATAATTGTATTTAAGTCATGCCATTAAATTATATGAAACAATGCATGTAATATGGTAAATGCTATACCTAGTAGGGAGTAAATGCTTATTAATACCTTCCATCCTGAAGAGTCTTTAACAGTTTGCAAAGTCTGCTCACAGTCATTCATTCCTCCATTCACCCACTCTTTCAGTAGGAACTGGGTACTCGTCTGGCCAGGCGCTGCTCTAGTACAAGACAGGGAAGGAGTAAGGTGGACTCACGGGGGAGGTGGATGGAAAAGCAAGTACTTCATAAATAACTACATGATTATGACTGTGACAAGAGCTATGATGGAAATATATGTCATATTTATATGTGCACTTAAAGGGGGTTAGTTATATGTGTGTTTAAAGGGGGCTAGTATCTAGTTTTTGGGGTCAGGGACATAATTCAACTTGAGGCTTCAAGGACGATGGATATCATGATATATACTCAATCCCTATGCACTTTCCAATCACCCTGTGTGATATTATCATTCCATCTCTACAGAGAAACTGAGGCTCACAATGTTTGGAGGACCGTCCACACCCAGAGCTGGGGCTCAGAACCCAGATGCCCCGCTGCCTCTTTGTGCCTTCTTTTTACCACACACGATGCCGCCCTCAGTGGGCCAGGAGGGCATCGCAGGGGATGCTTCCCATATCTGCTATTTATCTTCTACACAGTTTTGTAAAGCCATCTAACTAAAAACTTCTGTTTTCCTATCTGAAAAAGTGGGTCTATTAATGATTGTACAGATAAGTACCAAAACTTCATGAACATGATAATTCAGTGCACATGACGAGGACTAATGAGGTTTATGAGGAATTATGCATAGAACATCATCCCATAATACCCTTTTTCAGAGGGAAGAGAACCGTTGGTTGGTGGTGGGGGCAGGGCAAACTGAAGTGGCTCCAGTGCCAGGCAGGCAGCACATGCACGACACGCAGGCACGTACAGAATGCAGGGGGCTGTGACTGATCTGAGAGTGCATGCTCAATGCAAAGTATTTTAAAATTAAAACGTTTTCTAGACCTGTTGAAGGACTGTCAGTCTGCAAACTCTGGAAACATGATGAAAAGAAAAGCACGTAAGTAAATGACTAAAGCAGAAAAGGCTTTGGGCAATTATAATCAGTCTTCAACTTTTGCAAATAATTAAAACTGGTACTTAGCCTTACCTCATTAATAAAAAGTTTAAGATATTTTTGAAAGGCAATAAAATAATATTAAAAACGAAAATAAGAAGATATCTTTCTCTTCTGAACTG